ATATAAACATGAAATGTAAAAAACAAAATAAATTTTCACAATATTTAAGTCTTGCTACGTAAAAGAATCACTACATCAATTTTTTTTTCCTACAAAGTTTTAAGTGCTTTTCAGCCACCTGAACAAGTTTTGAAGACGCCATAGCAGGGTGCTGAGGTAACAATTACAGTAGATTACTGTTTCCATTTTTTAAGAACATCTAGACAATGCTTCAAAATTTATAGAGCACTTTTACATGTTGTATATCATCTCATTTAATCCTCACAATGATTTTCTTAGGTTGGTAATGCTCAGCTATTCCCCCCTAGAAAATAAAGCTAAGGCTCAATGAAGTAAAATACTATGACCAAGGCCACTCAGTATATAGGAAGGCCAAAACTCCAACTCATTCCTTTGACCCCAAATTCTGTTATCTTTCTCCTTGCCTGATGTTTAAAAAAAAACCTTTTATGCACTCTATGGCATTGCTATTCATAATATTTAATTTATTTCTTTTTAAACGATTATTTATTTTCATTTTAAAATTACAAAACAGAAATTCCAAGAAGTAACTTACCCAAAGCAAGTCAACAGGTGGAACTAGACACGTTTCCAAGTCTAATGATAAAGAGTCCATGTATATTGCCAATCAACTTTAAAGACTAACATATTGAAATATTAGCACATCAACATACTTTATTGCTATTTAGGTGACCCTATACTAAGGATGGCACAAAATAATTTTTTCTATTTCCTACCTCCTTTTGCTTTAGGTAATAAGTCAGCTCCACAAGCAATACAATAAAATTCTGACTGGCAAGGTCCTTTTACAACAGATAAGAGAGGGCAATGTTTGAAAGAACAGTTAATATTTAAACATGAATACCTTAAGACAGTTTGAAAAAAAAGAGAAAATATATCAACATAATACTTGATACAAAAAAAATAACAATCAGTATTTAATATCCTTAAATCTTTTCAACTACTATGAATCATATATAAATGATGACATCTAACTTAGTTTGCATAAATGAATTCCACTTCTACAATCTCATACTTCATAATAGCAAGAAACCAAATGACACATTTAATATTGAGTTTTGTAAATAATAATATAAAGTAACTTAATGTGAAATGATGAAATTTTGGGAAAAAATTGAGAATCAAAATCATATAAACTGCTTAGAAAAGATGAAGATAAAAAAATACAGATTTGTTATGAAGAATACTAAGATATCTTCATGATTATGCCTTGTTAATAAATATTCCCTTTAATTCGTACTTACCATTAGATTTTCAAAGGTTAATTTCTGGGAATAGTAAGTTTCACACAGCTTTTGTTTTCCTTCTAATACATTGAAGCTTGTTTATTATACAGTGGAATTTGGTATAAGATGGGTTGTTTTGGACCTAGTCCAAGAGTTCAGCTCCTGAAAGCACTTCATTATTAGAAGTTTTCACCAATAAGGTGATCCACTGGCTCAGATCCCTTGGATATTATAACAAGGCCCCATTGTAGAGTACAGGAAGCTGGGCAACTAAGGGTTCATTCTTGCAAGTGAAAGCTTAAGAAACAAAATTTCTTTCTTCTTTTTTTTTTTTGGTAGGCATAAAAATCATTTAAGGCTAGATAAGCAATAAGCCTAGGTCATCTGTCTAAATTTCCATTTCTTGATGTGATGTTCTTTTTTGTATGTTTAATAGCTGCACAGATACTTCACGTTAATGGTTTTAGCTTCCTAAGACATTGTTATCTAACAGTTTTAAATTTATTTGTTATTATTAAAAATTTCAGTATTAATACTGACTTTTCTACTTACAAAAGATTGACTGCATTTGTCTATGAAAATAGATTTTAAAAAAACCTACAAAGCATTCATAAAGAGTAAAGTAAAATCTTTTTTAGTTCATTAATAAATCTGAGATTAAAAAGAGCATGAGCAAGAGTAATTGCATGGTAATCATATGAAAAAAAAAACAAAAAGACATCACTGAGATCGAAGGACTCAATAACCAGTCTTTCAAGTGATTTTACATCAGGCACTTTGATTTCAGGAAATTGTATAAGCAATCCTAAAGCATGAAAATTCTGATGTATTTTATTATAGGAAAATAACATGACAAAGTCATATGCAGAAAAATAATATGGGAAAGCCTTTTAAAAAGTTAATGTCTTGAAAGATCATAAAGAAAACTAAAAACAATGCCTTATGTGAACTTTGAAACAGTGCCAAATAAAAAAAAAAGTATAATAATTAAATACATAGTGGTAGCATAGTAAGACTTGTCATTAACTTCCAACACAGTTATAACAAGTTTTAAATGATTCATCTAAATTTCAAAAGTCAAAACAGGAAACATCTTCTCTTTACATTGTACCTTTCTTCCATGAATAAAGCCCTTTGTCCAACTGGTAGTTTTCCTGGTTCGTGGCCTATATGCTCTATATACTTTCAGCCCTTGAATAAATTCAGTATTAGATAATTATTTCATATACATAAAATGGGTACAGCAAATTACCTGATAAGCAATTTCTATCTTAAATAATTCAAAAGTTGTGAAGAATAAACCAAATAACTTTTCCTTTCTACCATGCAATGGTTCTTTATTGTTGTTTTATCTATATCTATCTTCCTAATCATCATTAGGAAAAGCTTCATATAAAGCAAGGATGTACTCCAGATATATGATAGGTTTTCTAGCTAATAACTGATGGCTTACCACATGCCTGATACTCTTTTAAATGCTTTTACATTTAAACTTATTTTAACTTATTTAACTCTTTAAAACATCTCTTTAAAAAGTATATAATCACCAATTAAAATGTTTTACCTCCTACTCTATATAAAGACTAGTACTTTACTTCTTGCAATATCATCCTGGTCAAAGTCATGATCTAAGGAGATATCTGTAAGTAGATACCTATTTCACAATTTTTGAAACACTTAGATTTACTAAAAGCTGCAGCACATCTCTACATACATTATAAGTAACAGAAATTTTTAGCCTTAGACAGAGATTGGAAGGAATAAATATTATCCAGGGAAAGGGGATGGTATTTGAGATCAAGCAGGATAATAATATTAAAGGTATGACTGAAAAATAATGTGCTTGGTTTTTCTCATGTAGTTTACCAATTCTTCTAAAGGCAATCATAAGGGCCTAAAAGGTTTAACCACAGCATTGTTAAAATAAATATCTTGCTTCCCATTACTATGTACTTATTCATACAATTATTCCCTAAAGTCAGATGAGTGTCATTTCATCTATTCTATAAAATGATTTGCTTTATTTTACTCATTTTAGAACAAGAACAGCTGAAAATTAATTCAGCATAAAATAACATATTCTCTTAAGTTACAGATTTTTAAAGCTAAAAGGAATTTGCATGATTTTATAATACTAAATTCTGCATTTTGCAGTTAAAACACTCTCCAAAAGGCATTACCAACATGAGTAAGTGATTACCAACTAACCTTATCTGTGAATTAAAAACTATACCAGAGAGGATAAACGATTATACCCTTTTAAAACAATCTAAAAATTACTTTCTAATATAATGTTTTATGACTTATTATTCACTGAACTAAAAAAGAATATGTAATACTAGGTGGGATACAATACATCCCAACCTACAGATAAATTCTTTAACTGATAAATTATCAATTTAAATTTCTTTGAATTATGCTTAGAATTGTAACATCCAGTGCTATAGAAAGAGTTAAGCTATATTCAATCTAAACACCATCAAAATAAAAGTAAACATATGCAAATATAATAATTCATTTATCCAAATAAATATAAAAGAAACTTGATTGCTAGGAATTTTGACATGAAAATAAACCACATCCACAACTTGAACTCATAATAAAAAAAATTTTTTTTAAGGACTTTATTTATATATTTTTAGAGAGGGGAAAGGAGGGAGGGAGACAATGTGTTGTTGCATCTCGTGTGCACCCTGCTGGGGACCTGGCCTGTAACCTAAGCATGTGCCCTACACTGGGAATCGAACTGGCAACCCTTTGGTTTGCAGGCTGGTGTTAAATCTACTGAGCCACACCGGCTAGGGCTCATAATAAAATTTCAATTCACATTACTCACAAGAAGACTAAATGTCCATAAAATAGCAGATGTTTCTTAGAAAAAGATCAGTGAATGTAATTTTTGGATTGATGAGTGAGGAGAGCATGTTTTATAACCATTTTTGATAAGAAGTATAGCTTCATTCACAAAAACAAAGCCAAAACTTACAGAAAGACTTTTTTCAGCTTCAGTTACATGTTTACATGTGCTTCCTAAATTTACATTAGGTTTTCTATCTTAAAAGTTGCAAAATCACAGCCTTTATGCCTATGCCAGAACATGTCACTTTTCTCCTCAATGATTATGAAGCTAGATAATTAGAATTGAAAATTTGGAGTCCTTCATTTAGCATTTTGTAACTTTACATAACTTTGCTTAAAACATGCTTGATTTTAGTTTATTAAGCAAATATAAAATAATGTCAGTTTAAAATGTATGCAGTTTTCTTCCTTAATTCTTAATTACTAATTATTAGGCAGCTTAATAAAGGAATAAACTTTTCAAAAGAACTTTGATTTCTTAAAAAAAAAGTCAGACCAATTTGAGGAAAAAATCTATAGTGAAACATGGCTAAATTAGACTGCTATTAATTTTTATGTATGATATGAAAACAAATGGATGAAGACAACTACAAAATATAAATATTTATGTAAAATTTAAAATGCCCTAGAAACTATGTATCTTTTAGATTGATTTTGAATTGCACTTAGGTAAGGAAAATATTTTATATGAATCACTTTATCAAGGCTCAAGAATAGTAAAACTTAAATTTCTGAATGTAATAGTTTTAAAACCCTAATGATAATGAATTAAAGTAAAAAATATATCTCATATTGCAAAAAAAGATACCTCTTAGCCATGTATAAAATGTCATTTATAATAAAGTTTAATATAAATCCAACAACATATTTTTATAGCTTGACAGTTAAGTATTATTACCTAACACCAGGGAACACACCTTTATTTTTGGAAGGAGACTGTTTAAAGTTGTTTATCTCAATTTCATGAGTTTCCTCCAGTTCCAGTTGGTTGTTATGAGTTTCTATATTGCTACCAATGTCATCAACTTTACTTTCTTTAATATGCAGGACTCTATTTAACTTTGTGTCCGTGCAATCCTCAGCTTTCATTTCCCCAGCTGAATCTACTTCTTTCATAGGTCTAATTTTAAAAAGATCTTCAGCTAAAATACAATTTGAATTATTTCTACCAGTTTCAGCTGGTTCATTTTTTTCCTCATTTGTATCTACAGAGTCATAAAGTTCAGGTGTAAAATAGATAGATTCATCTTCTGCTTCTGTTTCAAAATCTCTATTTGAAGTAGAAAGTTTGTCTTCTTCACTTACTAGAGACAACTCAACATCTGGATCCAGGGCTTCTTCACAGCAGAGTAGCTGTTTGGAATGATCATTTTTAAGAAGAGCAGCATCAATCTTTATTGATGGAATAACAGTTTCTGACTGAGGACATGGTTCAAATGAGGGGTTTACTCCTAGAGATGAGGACTCAGATTTATCAGTGAGTGGCAAACCAGTTTCACAACCCTTTTCTGTTTTGAAAGTGGAAGAATGAGAGTCTTCTGATGACATCAACTTAGGTGCTGCAGTCAGAATTTTACCAGTAATACACTGTCTTGAAGAATTAAAACTAGACCAGCTAACTCTGTTTGTTTGTTTGTTGAAGGTTGGGCTTGAAGATCTGGAAAACACAATGTTTTCTTCTTGCATTGCCTCGCCAGACTCCTCCAATAATACTGGATCATCTATGAATACAAAAATTTAAAAATGTTAACTTTCTGTTCCTAACATAATTGTTCTATTGAAGTAATTCTGTTAGAAATATTACAATAACTGTATAGGACACATAATTTTGAGTACACAAACAATAGTAGCAGGATTTCGACTTTAGAATGTAAAACACAAAATATTAACTCTGAAAAGAATCTAGGTCTCCAATGATTCCTAACCCAAGTTACAATGCTGTATGGTAAAATTTCAAATTCCACACTGTGAAAGTCAGGGGTGAATGGGAAAAGGAGGGGTAAAAAGAAAGAGGAAGAGGACTGAGTAAAGGAGGGAATAGTATGTAACCATTTGCCTTGAAAATCCACTAAGTAGTGACTGACCTAGATTAATTCCCTTAAGGAAACTGACAACTACAAAAACTAAGACATAAAATTGGTTAGTAATCAAACTTGGCCTAGAACCTAGGTTTCCTGATAACCAATATAATGACCTTGAATTCACTATAACATTTATTGCAATTAGAAGAATATATTACAAAATAAATGTTTAAAAATTGATATATTAAACTACTATTATATACGAATTAAAACAATTGAAATAATATCCAATGATATAAACTACAGGTTGGCGAACTTTTTCTATCACAGGCCAGACAGTAAATATTTTAGGTTTTGGGGATCATGTTGTATTTGTTGCAACTACTCAATTGTGCTGGCCTAGTGTAATACATACAATTATTCAACTCTGCCTTTGTATTCAATACACAAATGAATGGGTATAACTGTTCCACAAAACTTTCTTTATAAAAACAGATAGCAGACCAAACTTGGTCCACAGGCCATAGTTTGCCAATCCCTGATACAGACCATCATATTTAATATATTTGAAAATATTATTATTTTTTTCATTTAGAAAAAAATGACTTTCATTTCCCTAAACGAAGAAATTCATGTAAGAGAAGGATCTAGAAATTAGATACTACCAAATGTGAATGGACAGAACTTTTCATACTTTGATCCTTTCTGGAGGTGATGTCACCTGGTAGAGAAGAACTTTGAATTATTGATTTCAGGACATCACGGTTTTTGGACACACAGTTTTGTTTTACCTTCCTTAGGATTCTCTGGTGATAGATGACTTGCTGTTTCTAATAAATAAGTTGAGTTACTGTCCTTCAAACAAGGCACTTCAAGTGTAGACTGACTGTCCTGTATAGACTTTCTGTTCTCTTTGGATACCTTCGGTGCTTTTGGAATGACCTTTTGGTGCTTTTTGGAAAATTCAGCCAAGGACTCCAGTGCACTTTCAAAGGTTGAGTGGTGCTGAATTTGCTGCCGCACCCATTTAGAAAGTCCTAAGAGAAAAGTAAACCCAAGGAAAAACTTTGGTTATTTCATTATTAAGATATTATGTACTAAGAAAAATTTGGATAATTTTTCTAATAAAGTAATCTAGAATTTAGAATATATAGAATGGTTCTCTATACTTTTCCTGCCTTTTTACCTTCATATGTACAAGGTGTTCATATACCAGTAACATTTCTCTTTATATGCAATGATTGTCAACTGGAGAGAGAGAAGAGGCAATGGGAATAGAGTAAGGGGGGAGGATTTTTATTTGTCAGTTTAGAATAACTGGGGAATAAGAATAAGGCAAATTTAATTTCACAATTTCCTACAAAAATTGCCTGCCTTTGAACCGTAGGGAAACTAGAAGTTGTGAACCACAAAGTCTTGCATTCCGAATTTCTAACTTTGACTCCCTTTGCAAAAATAAGTTCAAGAATCCTGTCTCACAGGATTTTTTGTTCCTCTTTTCCCCTAATTCCAAATATGCCTTAAACTATTCTGGATGGTAAAAGGAGTAACTCTTTTTTATGGACAAATCATGTCCCCTCTAAATATTAAATTGTTTTTCTTTAAGATTTTACTTGTTTTTAGAGAGAAGGGAACGGTGCGGGGAGAGAAACATCAATGTGTGGTTGCCTCTTGTATGCCCCCAAGTAGGGACCTGGCCTGCAACCCAGGCATGTGTCCTGACTGGGAATCGAACCAGCGACCCTTTGGTTCACAGGCCGGCACTCAATCCACTGAGCCACATCAGCCAGGGCTAAATACTACATTGTTTTTAAAATATATAAATAGTGACACTGTAAGGGACAAAATTTGACCGGTGGCATATGAAAACTGCATAAAAATGAACCATATTAAATATAAGGTGATTATTTTTGTATTGATTTTAGAGAGAGAAAGAGAGCATGAGAGAGAAACGTGGATTTGCTGTTCCACTTATTTATGCATTCATTGGTTGATTCTTTCAGTGTATGTGCTACTGAAGAGAGCACTCACTGCTTGATTCTTTATGTGCCCTGAATGGGCATCAAACCAGCAATCTTGGCGTATAGGGATGATGCTCTAACCAGCTGAGCTACATGGCCAGGGTTAAGGTGTTTTATAGTATGACTCTCTTCAGAATGAAATTCAAAATCAGATATTTGAACTTTTAGAAAATAAATGTTCTCTGCTATTAGTAAAATTATCATTTTTTTAAGTAATTTAAAAAGTTACTATGATGTTTTATGTTCAGAGAAAGATACGACAGTGCTTCAAGCAACTTGAACTACTTACTAAACTTTTATTTCACATACATTCCTTTAGTTTGTTGTTTTAATGGAGTTTTTCTATCAATCTATATTTAGAAAAACTGAATTTAAACAGAAATTAGTCATCAAAAGAAATTTGTGTTGTGCTTTTATTGCCTAGATAAGAAAAGGTTTCACACTTTAAGTCTCAGAAAAAATAAATTAAAACCATACAGAAATAATTTAAAAAATATTGAATAAAAAAAATCTCTCAAAAAATCTGAACTATAAGGTAAAAGTTTAAGTTCTAGATTTTAAAATAAGAAAAAAAGTGAATAAACATTTCCTTTAAAGCTCTTTATTTTTGGTTGCTAGGAGGAAATAATTATACCACATAAAAATATGAAATTTTCCAAAATTGAGAAATTTTTTTATTATAGTTACCTCTTCCATTTTGACTATTTGGTAATCAAAGTAAGCCTTTTCAGTGTAACATGTCAGTTTGCTTTTGAGACTTGAAAGAATCTGAGCTCCACCTGCTGACTAAACATAAGCACTTAACATTTTGCTTTTAATTATGTCTTGACCTAAGCACAATGGCTTGCTTTCCATACAAAGGGAAGAAGACTAATAAAGCAGCATTTGCTGCTTTAATCCAGGTGGGTATGTTTTGATATCAAACCAAATATATTAATTAGGTTCTGAAATGGAAAAAGTATAGTCCATACCATACCCATAGACAACTAATCTGAAACATTTAAGTTAGCATCTTTTCATTGTAGTATGGTATGAACTTTGTAGCACTGAAGACAATAGAGATGCAAATAATTCAAACAGTCCTTTAATAGCTAATGTATTCCTGGCATTGCCTCTAAAGGGACTGTGTTACTGCAAAATGAAAGCTACAGATGCTCCTTGACTCATGATGGGGTTATGTCTCAATAAACCCACTCTAAGCTGAAAATACCGTTAAGTCAAAAATGCATTTAATACACCTAACCTACCAAAGCCCAGTCTACCTTAAATGTGCTCAAAATACTTACGTTAGCTTATAGTTGGGTAAAATCATCTAACATGAAGCCTATTGTATAATTCCCAGCATCACCAGAGAATATCCTACTGCATATCACTATCCCAGGAAAAGATCAAAATTCAAAATTCAAAGTATGTTTTCTACTAAATGCATATAACTTTTGTACCATTGTTCATTTGAGTAGGGGAAAAATGACCATCTATTTGATTTTGCAGCATGCAATGGTGTTTTTCCTCTTAGAAAACAGTAGCTCTTACTAACATAAACTCTGTAGTAACTGAAGCATTTCTAAGCAAACCAACTAACACAGCAACAACTTCAAGATAACCCAGAATGAAATAAAGAACCCTAAGTAGCCAAAGCAGATGTGCTTGTATGCTTAAATGTAAAAACTTAGTATTTCTTAGAAAATTTGTTTCTGTATAACAGCTTTTTCCCTGACAATGCTAAATAAATTATTATGTTACTGAGTCAAATCTCACATTCTACGAAACTGAGGGATCCTAAGTTGATACTATGTTGATAACTAACCAGATTCTCCGCTAAGAAGATTTTTTGCAAACACTGTAAGCATTAAAAGGCTAGATTTTCAGTCAGTATTAATTTTCCATGTTTGACCTAAATATTCAAGTTCTCACATTGCAATATACAGATGATCTATCATAGAACTGTGCACTTGCACTTGAAACCTATATAGTTTTATTAATCAATGTCACCCCAATACATTTAATTTAAAAATTCTCTAATTCTTTGTCTTTAAAAATAGAAGTCACTAAACACTGTTATTAATTCTTACTCTAAGCCCAGCTGAGAATCTTACCAGATATATATCGAGTTGGGTTACTCCTGAAGCGGTCATCCACTAGAATAAGAGCTCCCCAATCATTTTTATGTCGAATACATCTATACAAAAAAATAGGAAGAAAGTAAAATAGACATAACTTTGAAGATGAGCTAAATTTCTAATGGGACAGATAGAATACTGAGAAAATCAATGACATGTCATTGATTTATATTCCTTTAATCAAACTAACATATATTCCTTTAATCCAACTCATTATTACAAACAAGGTTATAGAAACTACCATTTCTACTACTACTATTTGCTCCTGCTGCTGCTGCTGCTGCTGCTATGACCACTCTTGGTTTTTGACCTTTATAAATTATGTATTTATCACCTTTCCATTCCAATGGAGTTATATCACAATTCTTGTATAAATCAATATTCAATTAATTACCATTTATAAAGGTGAGTTACATGGTGCACTATGATTACATTTCCCTCCTTATACAAGATTTTTTGTCTTCCCTGTAGGTAATAACCATCTCCATTTTTTTTTTTTTTTTTTGGCTGATGTCCATGTTTTCTATCATTAATTAGTTCCCAAACTTTGTCACATCGTAAAAATTCTCCTCTATATTGTCAAGCCCTCCATCCTCAGAAACTGATCTGGACTGGCCGTGATGGGACTGCTGCACAGCTGTCATCACAGAGCTTCCCCTCCTGCCTGGTTTTGTGAATCCGCTTCCTCTCTTCTGGATTGAAGCTCCAGTTTCCTGCATCCTTGATATTCCTCTTTCTGAATTTCCTCTCATTTGACAGAGCCTATCTTCCAGTGGCATCCTGAGGAAGTGCGCATTTGAAGCAAATGCTATAGCATCCTTGCACACTGAAGGCTTTATTTTTGTCTTACAGTTTATGGATCACCTGGGTTGTATAGAACTTAGATTGCAAGTCCAAAATTACCCTAAAAAAATTGGAGATAATTTTCAACTGTCTTTTAGCTTCTAGTGTTGGTTTCAAGAATTCTGCTTAAATTGTGATTCCATATCTTTTGTATGAGACCTATATTTTTTTCTTTGGAAAGTTTTAAGACCTTTTTTTTTAATCTCAGATAATTTAAACCTGCACAGTGAAGTGCTCTGTAGCTTTTTTCCCACTTTACTGATGCTTGAGTGATCCCTTCCAGTCAGAAAATTATGTCCTTTAATTCTGAGCATTTTTCTTAAATTATTTCTTTGATAATGCTTCTTTCCTCTATTTTCTCTAGTCTCTTCATATGGATCATATCAGAAGTTGGCTCTTGCATACTGATCCTCTTTTAGTTCTTTTTTTAAATTATACTTATTTTTATTAATTTTTTTTATTTTTTCAAATACATTTGTCTCTGCCTACCCCCGACCACTTTCCCTTGCCCCCTCCCTCCTTCCCTCTTGTCTCTGTTGGTTTCTTTTCCTTTCAGTGTTGCTGGTCTTATTTTCCTTGCATCTTTGTATTGTTGGTTAGGTTCCACTTATAGGTGAGATCATATGGTATTTGTCTTTCGCCCCCTGGCTTCTTTCTTATTTTCACTTTCCTTTTTTTTAATCGGGAAATTTAAATTTTATCTTCTAAGCCCAATTCTGCCTTTAAAATTTGTTTTATCACATTACTGTCTGGGAGCTTTTTCTTATTTTCATTTCTTCTTTTATGGAGGCACTATCTTATCTCTCACCTTTTTTATTAAGTTTTCTTCTATCCAGAGGTTAGCAAACTATAACCCACAGGGAAAATCTGGTCCATATCTTGTTTTTGTACAGTCTGCACGGTAGAAATGGCACCTGTACTTTTGAAGGTGTTATTTATTTTCAGAGAAAGTGGGAAGGCAGGAGGGAGAAAGAGAAACACCAATGTGACAGAGAAACATCAATGGGCTGTCCCTTGTGCACGTCCCAGTTGGGAACCTGCCCACAACCCAGGCATGTGCCCTAACCAGGAATTGAACTGGAGACCTTTCACTTCATGGGGATGATGCCCCAAAACAACTAAGCCATTCCAGCCAGGGTGGTATTTATACTTTTAAAGGGTTAAAAACAAAGAAGATGGAGGCAGACTATTTATGCCATAAAGAACCTAAAATGCATATTATCTGACCTTTTATAAAAAAGTTTGGTAATCACTGTTCAATTGCACTTTCTGTTTTCTATACGTTCTTCTATGCTATTTTGTTTTGTTGGTATTATTTTGCTATTGTTTTGGTTTCTTTTTTCATGTTACAGATATTCTTTGAATATCTCAAGGCTCTTTGGACTCATGTAAGAGTAAGGCACTAAAATGCTGATTGGCAGCTTGGCCTACCTGGGTGGGACTTACAGGCTTGGAGGCTTTGCAGGAAGGTAATCTGGTAGGAATAGGGCCACTTTGTTACTATCTTGTAGGCCTTTATTCATGGAGTGGCCAGTTTCCCTAAAGAGAAATACTGTACTTTCCTGCTTTGGAGATACAAGATTGATTGTTAGCCTACTCAGAACTGAGAAGAATAAGGAGATGGGAGTTATCACATTCAGTAGGTAGACTTTTCTTTTTCATTTTTTATTTAAAAAAAGTTTTATTTTATTTTTAAAAAGTATTTTATTTTTATTTTTTAATATATATTTTATTGATTATGCTGTTACAGCTGTCCCACTTTTTTCCTCCCCTTTATTCCCCTCCACCCTGCACTGCCCCTCCCCCAGCATCCCCCCACCCTTAGTTCCTGTCGATGGGTTGTACATATAAGTTCTTTGGCGTCTCCATTTCCTATACTATTCTTAACCTCCCACTGTCTATTTTGTACCTACTATTTACACTGCTTATTCCCTGTACCTTTCCCCCTGTTCTCCCCCCTCCATTCTGATCTTCATTTCTATAATTCTGTTCCTGTTCTAGTTGTTTGCTTAGTTTGTTTTTGTTTTTTTAGGTTCAGTTTTTGATAGTTTGTTGTCATCTTACTGTTCATAGGTTTTGATTTTCTTTCTCTTAGATAAGTCCCCTTAACATTTCATATAATAAGGACTTGGTGACGATGAACTCCTTTAACTTGACCTTGTCTGGGAAGCACTTTATCTGCCCTTCCATTCTAAATGATAGCTTTGCTGGATAGAGTCATCTTGGATGTAGGTCCCTGCCCTTCATGACTCTGAATAATTCCTTCCAGCCCCTTCATGCCTGCAAGGTTTCTTTTGAGAAATCAGCTGGTAGTCTTATGGGAACTCCGTTGTAGGTGACTGTCTCCTTTTCTCTTGCTGCTCTTAAGATTCTCTCCTTATCTTTAATCTTGGGTAATTTAATTATGATGTGCTTTGGTGTGTGCTTCCTTGGGTCCAACTTCTTTGGGATTCTCTGAGCTTCCAGGATCTCCTGGAAGTCTATTTTCTTGGCCAGATTGGGGAAGTCCTCCATTACTTTTTAAAATAAGTTTTCAATTTCTCGCTCTTCCTCTTCTCCTTCTGGCACCCCCATGATTCAGATGTTGGAATATTTAAAGTTGTCCAGAGGTTCCTGAGCCTCTCCTCATTTCTTTGAATTCTTGTTTCTTCATTCTGTTCGGGTTGAATTGTTTATCTCGTCCTTCTGCTCCAAATTGTTGATTTGAGTCCCAGTTTCCTTCCCTTTACTGTTGGTTCCCTGTATATCTTTCTTTACTTCACTTTGCATAGCCTTCACTTTTTCCTGTGTTGCGATCATACTCCACCATTTCTGTGAGCTTCCTGATTACCAGTGTTTTGAACTGTGCATCTGATAGGTTGGCTATCTGTTCATGGCTTAGTTCCATTTTTGGAGCTTTAATCTGTTCTTTCATTTGGGCCATATTTCTTTGCCTCAGCGTGCCTGTCACATTGGAGGGGGTGGAGTGTTAGGTATTCGCCAGGGCAGGGCAACCCAGGTCGTTGCATTATGGCACTGTATGTGAGGGAGGGCTCTGAGAGGGGACAATGCCACTTGCTTGGCACTCAGAGGTTTTCAGTCACTTCCCCGACTACCCAAAAGCAAATTGGGCCCTTCTGGTGCTGATTCCTGAGAGGGTGGGTCTGTGTACATTCTGGGACCCTGTGGGTCTCTCCAACAGACTCTCTTGTGAGTCTGGGAGTTTCTCATGCTGCCGCAACCCCCACAGGTTTTTACCTCCAGAGATTTTGAGGCTTTCTTTTCCCACATTGGAACTCGGGATTGTGTGGTCTGTCTAGCTCCCCAGCTGTTCCTCACAGTTTATCTGCACACAAATGTGGGACCTCCTGGTCCGCCACCCACTGCCTTGCCTTCCTTGTCCTTCAGCTGCAGCCTTGCCACGCATCCTCCCCAGCTGCCCATCTCTGTCCCTCCCACTGGCCTGGAATAATGTTTCTTCTTTAGCTCCTTGATTGTCAGACTTCCATACAGTTCAATTTTCTGGTAGTTCTACTTATTTTTTGTTTTTACATTTGTTTTGTCCTTCCTTTGGTTCCTTTGGTTGTACGAGGAGGCAAAGTGTATCGACCTACACCTCCATCTTGGCCAGAAGTCAGTAGGTAGGCTTTTCTTAACCCTCATCTTTAATACATCTTAGCTGTACCTGAGGTTGAAGAATATACAAACTCCAGTTTAATCTTTCCAGAGAGTAAGCCTGGGTGGGGAATGGAACTGTCAAACTATTTTCATACTAACTTACTACTGATCCTCTTGTGTTTAAAACCTACTCTAACTGAAACTGTAGAGTGCCCCCAAGCTCTAAGCTTTTTCATGTCCAAATCTGGAGGATCTTGTTAGCTTTCACGACTACAGATTTAAATTTCAGTTTTCTCTTGCTTGCTAAGTCATTTAATCATTCATCTGTTTTCCAGTGTTCAAAATTTGTTGACATCTCTGTTCAAAATTTGTTCACATACTGTTGTTCTCTTCTCCCATGCTTTTTAATTTTGTGAGTTTTACATTTTTATTCCTTTATCATCATGGGATTCTGAGAGGGGGTGAAAATTAATATAAATGTTTGACTTTTTTCCCCATGGAGACAAAAAAAATCTAAATTTTATATGACATTCTTCTTTAATATAATTGTTAAGTATTTCATGGGTTGAAGAATCAGACCCTAAAATTGGGCAAAATGGGAAGATGGATGCTGCCAATATTATAGAACAGTGTTGAAAATCAATAGGAAATCAGGATGCTACTTTGTTTTGGTTCTAGTTCATATATTTAAACTGCCCTATGGAAAAAAAGCATTCAATTTAACAAAATGGTTCAGAAAAAAAGGTTTCACCTTTTCATTTTCCATTGTTTTCATATTGCCTTGCTCAAGTGAATTATGCCCACTTGAGACAAAGATTATACTTTTAGTAAAGCAGACCTGTTAGGAAATTCATAGTGCAGTTATAACCTGGTCACAAAACCATCTGGTATATTCCCAAAGGCTGTTATTACATTTCATGGACTTATATTACTTCAAGTACTCTAATAGTCCCATGTGGCCTTAAAAAAAAAAGATAACACTTTTTAAACACAATTTGTTTCTGTTTACTTTAGACCCTCTGGACATATCCCTTGTAAAGAGAGTGCCTGAGTTATAAGCACCTTTTATGTCAATCAAGACACATTATGAGTTTTATCAAATGATGTAAAATATTTACTTGATTTTTAAATGGACACATTTCTTTATAAGTTGTTACTTGTTGATACTGTTTCCCTTAAAATCAGTACAATGACAGTTGAGCTAATCATTTTTTAATTAATAAAATACTAAAACTACAGTATTATAAATCAAGATCACAAACTCATGCTTTTCATTAAATTTAGAAAAGTATGTTTGGAAGCTCTAGAAGCTCTTTGACCAGTATGGTATAATGAAAACAAGCACTGAACTTGGCATTTTTCAACAAACTTTAATTGAGCATCTATGCCCCAAACTAGGACATGGTTGCTGAGAATGCAAAAATGTATAATACATGTTTAGGGAAGGAGACAGAGAAATAACAGGTTATTATAATACAGTGAGATATATGTTATAATATAGTTTATAAAATGCTATGGGTTTCCTAAAGAATAAATAACTTTAGTTGGGGAAGTAAAAAGAATCTTCATAAAGGACATGATTTTCAACTAGGTTTTAACTGGCATACTTGCCAAATTAATTGTATGGTGGCTTGTACCCTAACACAGAGAGTAATGAAAGGATATGGTATGTTTAATAGCTTAATAGCGACATTATGTTTAATAGTGTGAACTTTAGTAGATAGAAGTAAGGTATAAAGATGAGAAAAACAGGTCTTGAGGTTTTAAAAATAGGTGGAACCAAGATGTTAAGGCCCATTTAGTAGCTGTGTGATGTTAATAAGTAATTTCATCTCTCACAATGGTATATATAAAAAGGTTTATAAATGATAAAGTGAGATACAAATGTATAGTCATGCATCCCTTAACGATAAGGATACATTCTGAGAAATGCATCAATAGGTGATTTTTTCACTCTGCAGACATCAGAGAGAGCACTTGTACAAATCATGGCTGCATCATATAGCCTGTCACTCCCAGACTACAAACCTGAGAACAAATTATTAAACTGAATACTGTAGGCAACTGTGACACAAATACTTTTGTATTACATATGTAAACAAAAAGAGATACAGTAACAATAGTAACAAAGATAAAATGATACATCTATTCAGGGCACTTACCATGAATGGAACTTGTAAGACTGGAAGTTGCTCTGAGTTGGTGACTGAGTAGTGAGCAACTTGTGAAGGCCTAGGACATTACTGTACACTACTGTGTACTTTATAAACACTGTTCTACCCCTGCTTCCCTCTGGCAGGGTCAGAAATAGAATATCAACATGAACAGGGATGTGGTTTGGACTAATTATCAAGAAGAAATTGGCTGGGTAAGGTGTATATCACCTTAATAGTTAACTGTCAGGAGGGAGTGAAAGGTGGCCTGAGAATCAATAGGAATAAGAAATCAAGATGGCAAGAAAAGGAACATAAGGGATTGCCATGGCCATGTGGTTTTTTGCTATTTCATGTTGGAGCATCAGTCAGATTAGAAACTTTTAGTTGTCATTAAAAAAAGAAAGAGAGAGAGAAAGAGATGGTGCATAACATGGAGAGGATATAGAACTGGGAACTCAATACTTTGACTTTGGAAAATTGCTTGTGGTTCCATTGAGCCTATCTGGTACAAAGGGCTCTCTCTGGCTTTGAACTGATAGAAGAAATAAAACTTATCTATGCTTTACATTATTACAATCTGAAAATATTTCCAAAACACAGGCATAGTCCGGCTCCATACTCCCACAAAGCTTTTGCGAAAGTGGCAGCGGCACTTAATTCTTGCTCTGATAGCTCCTGTGGACCTGTGTCCTAGTACAGGCTTTCAGGTCCTCAACAAAGAATGTCTAGCAATGAACTCTGAAGACCATCAAGCTAGATCTGGGAGGGCTGCACCACCCTTTAATATGTAGTGATGGGGGGAAAGGCTCCTTTGTGCTGAAACAGGTCAGGGGCTGTAATCTGTGCACTCAAAATTGAGGTGCTGTCAGTCTGAAAGAATCTATTCCAATCCCCACAGATAAGCTCCAATTAGAGGGAAAAAAAGTCCTCCTGAACTACGTATCCTTCCATTTCTTACAGAAAAGCTCCACTATACCCTTATGGGACCATCCTCGTATGTGCGGTCCATTGCTGACCAAAACTTTGTCATGTGCCACATAACTATACTTTTGCTTCAAATGGTTTCTTGAAATTCAAGGCATTGCTTATATCAAAGGGAAATATAATCAACTAAGAATACTTTTCTAAAATAAGTCAGTAATTTTAAATAAGGATTTAGGGTCCCCTAAAAACTATTTGCTGAATATTAAAATTCCAATAAAACAAAACAAAACAGGCTAATGAACAGGAAGAAACAAAGTGAGCAGGTAAAATGCCTAAAAACCAACTTGCTGTGCAATTTGATGCCAAGTATCAATGATATTCCTAGGCAGAGAAGGGAAATAGCTTAACGATGTCAGTACATTAACCACAGAACTAAATCATTCAGTTTGAAGTGAAACATCTACAAAATAGCAATCTGAAAAAATGGGGAGCGAAGGGATAATGTGTTCTGGGACTTATATCCAGCTGTTGCAATCCTATGTCATCAGCTATATATAAATCTGAACTTAAATGCATCCTGGTCTGCTTATATATAAATGGGCTAATGTGAGTGGACAAGATACTTGAAAAAAAAATCTAAATTCTGAATTTCGCTAGGTCAGATAATGGTTATCCATGGGTCTTCTGGCTGAACTGAAAACATGTCAGATGGTTGTGTTTTCATGATTTTACTCTTAACCTGTATTCTTTTATTTGATATATCTAAAAGCCTCACAGCCTCACAGGAAAAAAAAATATTAAACAGTTAAAATAATTACAATTTCATAAACAGAGAATATAAAATATTACATTCGGTTATTAAAAATCTAATAATTAAAGTGTTTATAAGCTAACTGCTGGGATCCTATAATATGAAATTATGGCATAAAATGGTGATTTAAAAACCAGCTTCACAAAGTAAAAATCTTAATGAATCAAAATCCTTAGAAAAAGGATTATTATAATTATATTTTATTGTTAGTTGGTATTAATTCTTTAGTATCACGAGCATGATTTGGTTTAATCCTTCTTGAGTGGTTTGTTTTATACCCATAAAATCACCATGAGCCTGATGGTCATAAGATAGAAACTGTCTTGCTTGGTGGTACACTTCCATAGACATTTACTGAACACCTTTGTGTGACATTCATTGTTTGAACAATCAAGAACTTTAACCTAAAACTTTATCAAATTAAGTTTTATTTTGGTTTTTATTTATTTTAGTGATTCTTTTCAACTTTCATTGATAACAACTGTCATTGAAAATATACCAGTTTGTAGGGTTGTAGTGAAATAAAATTCTATCAAATTTATTATAAGGAGTAAAGTAGTAAGACAATCTCTCAAGAGAGCCCTGCTCACAGATAAAGTTACAGTAACATTATATTAAATTTCACTTCACTTACCTACCAAGGGCCTGGTTTAAGGCCCTGTATGCTTGGATTTCATACCATTGACGACCAGGTAAAAGACCTCTCAATTTTGAGTGCTGGTCATTATACTGGCGCTTTAGTTCAACCTAATAATTTAAAAATACAATACAAACAGAGTAGATAATTAAAGCTCATTTTAAAACATCATATTAACTTCAAACATTTCAAACATCATTTTAGTAGGGTAGAGAAATTTTGTCTTTCAATACTAAATTTGTTTCAGTTCATTTAAAATATTTCTCACTTTTAAACTTTGTATTGAATTTATTGGGGTGACACTGGTTAATAAAACTTATAGGTTTCAGGTGTACAATTCTAGAATATACTTCATCCATATATTATGTTGTGTGTTCACCATCCTAAGTCATCTACTCACCCTTACATTCCCTAAATTCCTACATGCATATAATTAATTCTGTGTGATGATATAAATCATAATGAGAAATAATACACATACAATAAAATCTACGAACATTCAATGTACTTGGAAATAATGATGCGGTACATATACACAATGGAATATTACTCCATCATAAAAAAGAAGAACTTTTACCATTTGTGGCAACATATATGGACCTGTAAGGTATTATGCTAAGTGAAATAAGTCAGGTATGGAAAGACAAATACCGTATAATTTCACTTATATGTGAAATCTAAAAAACAAAATAAATGAACAGGATGAACAGGATGGAGGCTTTGGGGAGAAAACTGACAGAGTAGCCGGTGGAATCCTGGTGCTGACTCATCCCCTATATGACAGCAGCCATCTTGCTCAGGCAGACCACTCCCCTAAGCTGGCAACAGTGTGAGAGGGCCCAACAGCCTCGCCCCCAGGAAGGACTTGGCCCCGGCCCAGTAGTGCTAAAGTCTGACTGCTGAGTACAGAGTGGCAGCCACAGATAGTAGATCCCTAGCTAAAGGGGGCGCAGAGTGGTCTAGAGACACTTGAGGAGAGACTGGAGACAGAGGCTTTGGGGAGAGGACAGAGAGAGTAGCTGGCGGGATCCCAGTGCTGGCTCCTCCCCCATATGGCAGCAGCCGTCTGGCTCAGGCAGGCCACGTCCCTGAGCGGCAGCAGTGTGAGAGGACCCAATAACCCTGCCGTCAGGAGGGACTCTGCCCTGCCCTGTATCTAAGCCTGCCTGATGAGTGCAGAGTGACTAGATTAACAGCTGAAGGAGACAGACACGAACAGTAGATTCCTGGAAGTCTTGAACAGACTGCCCAAGGCCAAAGAGAGTCAACATCTGACATCATCAGAGGCAGATCCAGAAAGAAAACAGTGGTCTCCTACCATAGAAGTTCACACTACAAAGTCAGGAAATCAAGACAATCATTTTAAGAAGCGAAAGCAAAAAAGAAGAGTCTCACAAATAATGGGAAGACAAAGAAACACCCCCCAGTCGAAGGGAAACAAAGAATCCCACAAGGAGAAATAAATGAAGTAGAGGCAAGTAAACTATCAGATATTGAGTTCAAAACAACGGTTCTAAGGAAGCTCAATGAGCTTAGTGAGCTCAGAGAGAATTACCAAAAACTACAGGGGAACTATGAGGAACTTACTGCAAACTATATCAGCATGAAAAGGGACATAGAAACTATCCATAAGAGACAAGAGGAAATGAAGAATACAATTTCTGAATAGAACACAATAGAAAAAAACACAACATAAGGAATCCAAAGCAGGCTAGATGAAGCTGAAGATTGAATCAATGACCTGGAGGATAACAGAAAAAAGCTCCCTGGAAGAGCAAGAAAATGAAAAAGACTCAAAAAGAATGAAGAGGTGTTGAGGGAAAGGCAGGACAACCTGAAACATAATAATATCCAGCTAACAGGGGTACCAGAAGGAGAAGAGGAGGAAGAAGGGATAGAGAACCTGTTGGAAAATGTAATGAAGGAAAACTTCCCTAATTGGAGGAGAGAAAAAGTCCCACAAGTCCAGGAAGCACAGAGGGTCCCATTCAAGAGGAATTCACTGAGGCCCCCTCCAAGACACATCATCATTAAAATGGCAAATATCAAAGACAAACAGAGAATCCTAAAGGAAGCAAGGGAGAAAGAATCAGTAACATATAAGGGAGCCCTGAGGTACGGCTAGCAGCTGACTTCTCAACAGAAACACTGCAAGCCAGAAGGGAATGGCAAGAAATATTCCAGGTCATGAAAAGCAAAAGCCTGCAACTAAGACTGCTCTATGCAGCAAGGCTCTCAATTCAAATGGAAGGCGAAATACGGAGTTTCCCAGACAAAAGAAGGCTAAAAGAATACACCTCCACCAAACCAGCACTGCAAGGCATGCTAAAGGGACTGCTTTTAGAAGATGAAGAAAAAGAGTCTATGAATACCCAGTTCCTTTCACAGTCACCAATACTTGGTATTACCCATATTTTTAATACTTATTAATCTGATTGTGACAATGATGTGTTATTTTGTTACTTTATTATTTGTTGAAACTAAATCTGTTTCTGTATATTTCTTCCTTATTTCTATTATTTTTAAAAAAGCTTTAAGTGGCTTTTTGGTATTCTTTATCCATTTTTTGATTAAATGTTTGTAGAATTTTTTCCGTTAAAAACAAAACTATTAACCCTTTTTCAGATGTGTTGCAAATATTTTTTTCTATTTTATTACTTGTCATTTAACTTTTTTTATATGTATATTACTATATAGTCTCAAATGTTTAATATAGTCATATTGTCAATATTTTACTTTATAGATTCAAGTTTGAAGATTTTACTTCAGGGTAAGAAAATATTATTTTGTATTTTCTCCTAAAACTCCTTAGATTTTACATGTTGATTTTTAACTCACCTGAAAATTTTTTGTACAATGTGTGAAATAGGGCTCTATATTTGTTTTATTTCAAGTAATAGTGGTTCATGCACCTCATCTGTTGCAGAAGCCTTATTTTCTCTACTGATTTGAAATATCAATTTAATCATATATTACATTGTTAAATAGATATATATGTTTGTTTCTAGAATGTTCATTTTATTTCATTGATCTACTTGATTATTTCTGTGTTGGTGTTCTGTTGTTTTAATTGCTGAGACTTTATAATGGGTTTAAATTTTTTAATATTTTATAATGGACTTGACATTTAAAAAAATAAATAAATAAAATCAATCTGCATTAAAAAAAAAAAAGAAGGAACTCCTACCTTTTACAACAACATGGATGCAACTGGAGAGTTTTATGCTAACTATGGGAAATAAGCCAGTCAGTGAAAGACAAATACCATATGACCTCACCTAAAAGTGGAATCTATTCAACAAAATAAACTGACAAACAAAATAAACCACAGGCATGGAAACATGGAGCAGGCTGAAAGTGACCAGAGGGGTGGGGAAGGACAATGGTGGAAAGAAGGAGAAGGGACTAGACACAGAACATGTATGAATGACCCATGGACATGGACAACCGAATGGGAATGGACTGTGGCGGGGGGGGGGGATAGCAGGGGTGGAGGAGGGCAAAGGGGGAAAAAAATTGAGACAATTGAAATAGAATAAACATGATTTAAAAATTAAAAGAAAAAATCCAAAAAAAATAATTGGAGAAAAGATTTTTGTCATCAAATATACAACGAACTCATACACATGATCAGTAACAAAATCTGAGAAATGTTAAGTTATGAAGGAAAGTCACCAAAAATGAAAAGGCTGGTAACCCAATGACTAAGGCGTCATTGTCCTATGTACAATGTTTCTTGTATCTCCTTCAACAAATGTCTCTTTTTCATAGGACATGGCTAGATACTTTCTGAACAGAACTCACATATATTATATTATATGTATATATAATATGTATTAAAATACACACACACACACACAACACACACACAGAGTCAGGTATTATGTTAGGAAAAAGAACCACAGTTTAGAGCAACATCAATTATAAACCAGCCTGCCAAAAGACTTACACCAAACCCTGACAAGACCCACAGGGGACACACAGTTCAAAGACTGTATACTTTGACCTCTTACTAGTTCTCCCCTAACAAGTTGTCAAATTGTGCCCATATAATTTTAAGATGATCAACTACTAATTAACCTCCCCACAAAAAGCAATATTCTTCAGAGAATGAAAGACTCCAGAATCACTATAATGTACCAGCTGTAATGTCCTGCATACATTATTTAAAAAATTATTAGAAAAATGTGGCCCATAATTAAGGGGGAAAAAGTTAGTCAATAGAAACCAGTCTAGGAAGGGCCCAGCTGTTAGAATTAGCAGACAAAGACTTTAAAGTAACTGCTACTTAAACATATTTAAAAAACTGAATAACATATGGTTTAATTAATGAACTTTGGGGGATCTCAAAAAAGAGCCAAATGGAAATTCTACACCTTAAAAAAACAGTAACAGAAGTAAAAATTCATTGGATCGACTTAACAGCAGATTGGAGAAGGCAGAAGAATTAGCTAGTAAATCTTAAGGCAGATCAATAGAAGCAACGAAATATCAATGAGAACAAAACAACTTCATAAACAACAAAGGGACTGATGTAGAAGAATCAAAGCATATGACAGCAGTCAGTAGTGATCTAATCACATGTAAAATTCAGAGTTGAAACAATACTAATGCATTTGATGCATTATTTATTGCCTCAAAGGCTCTACTTATTAAAAGATATGAAGAATCTCTCACTTTTCTGAGTGATTGAATTCACATTCATTTTCTATATAGGGACTAACCAACAGAGACTGTTAAAGTAAACTTCTACTTTGCTGGAAAAGTACTCATAATAAATTCTGCTATCTAGTCACTGAATTAGATCTTATAATCATATCGCTTTTTCAAAGAAACTCAGAATTAATTACAGGGCATAAACTACATTCCTATTAAAAGCAGTGTCACACCAAAGAATACTACAAACCCAACTTTCATCTGGTCTTCACAAAAGACCCACAAGCGGACTACTTTTATACAAAGTCAGAATACATGCTATATAGAATTCAGACTGAGCTATTCAAATATGTAAGTTAATAAGCTTTTTCCTGTAAAAAGCTCTCCTATAAAAAGTAAAATGCAAGTTCTGAGTGTAAGGAAATTATTGATTATGATTTTAATTTTTCATACA